CGGCACAAGGGAAGAGGTAGACTTGGGAGCGCATTGCCCGACAAATCAGCGCATCGTTCCCTCTCCTTTTACGCACAAGCGATGAGTGTGAGAAGTGCTGGTACGTGCTGCAATCCAAAGCGGGCGTTACTGCGTTACTACGCTGGGTGGGAAAAGTAAGCTCATCCCTGATGAGGTCGACCACAAACATTCTCCCTGCACGATCAAGCCGGTAGCGTCTTATTAAATCACTGTCGTTCAATATACGGAGAATATCTCTCCTTCCTCTCTGTCTTTCCGCCATCTTCTCTGTTTAAGACACTCTTAGGCTTCTTAAAAGTCCTCCTCCCTCCTCTTAACAGTTTTTCACCTTAGGAGCTCTCTTATGACCTAAGATGCTTTGTGAATAACTTTTATCTTACCAAGGGAAAATTCTAAGAAAAATCTTAGAATTCGAGGAATTCTAAGATTTTTCTTAGAGTGACGTCACTAAGGGCTACTTTTAGTCTTAGGATTCTTTGTGAATACGGGCCCAGATCCTTTGCAAGTTTTAAGGCTCAGCTTGCACATGCACTTTGTTCACAGAGTCCATGACTAACGGTGAATTTAGGTCATAGATCATTTAAACTATTTTGAATTAAGAGAAATACATTCCAAGTTAATCAGCATAAATTGTCCACAAATTGCTTAGAATATAAATAAAATATAATGTTAAACTTGGCGTAGCTCTATGATCTTAAAATAAATAGTATGAGCTATATTTTCTCACTAAGTACATGATTGACAACTTGAAAAAGTCTCTAAAATTCAGGAAAGGAGTGTGGTGGCCTGTTTTAAGTTTGATGTTTCTAGCTCAAACTATGACAAAGTAAAAAATGAAATGAAATAAAATAAAATAAAACAAAATAAAAACAAAACAAAAAAAATAAAATAAAAATAATGAAATAAAATAAAAGTGAATTTGATAATTTCGTTAAAAAAATTAAAGGGAAGTCAGTTTGAGGATTTTGTAAAAAAGAAATAAATGAATAAAATAAAACAAGGGAAGTCAGTTTGAGGATTTCTCCCAACTTTTTTCATTATTTTCTATGTGGGGAAAATAAATAAATAAATAACTAAAGAGATAAATACTCAAATAAATAAATAAAGACACTATTCTACAAATTAACAACGACAATACAGGACTACTGGCTTTGAAGCTGCACAAACAGCCTTTATCCTAAGAAGATCCAAATCCAAAACAAAGCAAGAAACAAACAACAAAAAATAGAAATAATAAACACCCAAATTATTTACCTTAAATCAGGTTTCAATGTTTCAACTGCAGACACATTTTATTGGCAGGTATGCAATAATCGTGCACCTAATCTTCTATAATCCAAATAAAAAATAGCTTGTCAGTGCACCTAAAAGGAGGCTTTTTGACTGGATATTTATCTCTAATTACTCATTACTGTAACAGGAAATAGTGGTTATTTGGCTCTAGCCATTGCAATTTACTAGAGTTGTTCCGATACAGAATCCAGTATTGGAAATGCCTACAATGCTGATTTGGGTTTTGGCTTGTACACCTGTCTATGCAGCAATCTACTATCATTTATTAATCAAATTTAAAGTAGCTTCAAACCAGAATAAAATGGCAGTTTTCCCAGAAATCACTTCTTCTTCACTCTCCAAAAACAACAACCTACTGTGCATAGCAAGTTCCGCTTTGCAGCCGCTGCCAACTACTGTTTTAAAGTGGTGAGGAATAATTGATTTCTGGTAAATAATGTAACCTCAGCCTTTAGCAAAATGTCAGCAATGTGGCGATATTTTACACCAGAGAGTCCCACCAGTAACCATCCTGTTTTTTTTATGACTGACTCTTATATTAGATGATACAGAAGGTTGTGTGTTTGCAAAGGGTTTAACCTGAGCCATGCCACACAGCAGTGATAGCAATCATTTTACATCCAGACAGGATTAGTAGTACACAGCTGTTTTTTAACACAATGGTTTCAGATTGGTACTCGGTATCAGCTGATATACAAGTTCAGGTATCAAAATCTGTACTGGGAAGGAAGAAAATTGTATCAGGGCATCCTTAAAATTTACCCCAACACACCTCTGCCTCTTAGAAATGTCTACCTCTGCAGAGAATCAGGCAACAGCAAAGAACGTGTACATATTTATGATCAGAAATAGATTTGTTGATCAGTTTTGTCCCATTCTTCACACTCTCCTCTGTAAAGATATGTCCTGATGGGTCCTGTACAGCCATAGCATACTGTCACAACATGTTTTTTGTTTTATAACCTAAAGTAGCTCCACAGCACAACTTTCCACAAACCAGAGATGTAACTTGAGCCATCAAATCAAGATTTTCTAACAGCTCCCGAGGCCACTGCGTCTGAGCAGTAAGTCAAACTTTTTTTCTAACTACCAGGCAGAAGTTGCAACTGCTTCGCCATCAAAAGTTATGGGAAGGTAGCAGAGTGAGACCAGCTTACACACGGCACTGACGACAAGTTATTCCCGGGGCAGAGGCACTGGAGATGGCAGCAGCTAAAATAGTGATTTACTGCGGCGGCGTAAACCAAACTGCCCTATCTTTCCTTCTATCCCTCGATCCCTCCCTTCCCTCTTCCTGCTAACCCTTGTGTCCACAATTCCTCAGAGAAAGACAAACATCGATCTGAGTTACAGCCTCAGTCTCTCCAGTCTGCTTGCATATCTATACACACCCACGTATACATAAATACACACACAGCAGGCCACTTTCTCTTCACTCTTTGCCTGCAGCTTTAAGTTTCTGAACTCTTGCTTCAACAGCAGTCTGACAACACACACACATTTACATATTCTTGTACATTTTGCAAATTTTAATTACTGCCTCAGTTATTAACCAACAACACAATCTATGTCATGAGGTCAGCTTTTATGCGTGCAGACTTCTAAACAACCAGAAACCAGCTCCTGGTCTCTGATATGCTTTTTGTGTCCTGAAATAAATCCAGCAACAGCTCCCAGGCAAGCTCTTGGTGTCAGAAGCAACAGCTTGTTTTGGATAAACTGAAGAAAAACCAGAAAGAATTTCAGCTACATTAACAGGTAATCTAAGGAGGAACTTATATCCTGACTGATGGATGATCTCTGGCAAGAGCAGTGTAGTGACATCGCCATTTTCCCCATTTGGTTTGACTGAGGCAGAGGTCTCAAAGTCTGACACAGTGAACCAGACAAAACTAAGACAACTGAGTGGCTGTGGAGGATATAAATGTGTTCCCACGGAGTCAGTTAGTTGAGACCTGCTTCTTTGCCTATGTTTGTTAGATTTTGAAAAATTGGCACCAATAAATGTATTCCAAATTAGCAGCTAGCACTTCCTGTTTGCATGGATGTATAAACAACTATCACTGTATTGTTTTCATACTAGGGATGCTAATTTCCCATAATTTTGCTTTTGATAGCCCAGTGCCCATTAAACCAGTAACTAACCAGTTATCTTTTGGGGCAAAAATTCAAAATGACATGAATTACAAAAGGCCTTTCCTTTTAGTCTGGCAATCCTTTGATTCAGTGATCTTTAGCATTGCATTTCAAAGCGCTATCAATTTAGAAAAGGGGGAAATTTTAATGTTTTGTGCCTTTCATTCTCCTTTGTGTTGGCTTTGCTGACACACAGCTGGCTACCCATAGCCTGGAAATCCAGACTCAAATCTAGAAAGATTTTGAGTGAAAACAGTGGGGCTAACTGATATATTATGCTTTTACCGTATCCCGTCGGCAAAACGGCAAAAACGTCTTTCGTGGAAACGAAGGCTTCTTGGGCAGGAAAAAGATAAGTGAAATTGTCTTAGCGTTTCTTCCAAAGCTACACTGAATGGACGCGGTCCTTTGGCAGCTGCCATCTTGGCTGTGTACTTTTCAACTCCTATGCCGCAGCACTGTTGTCCTCATGTTAAGCCGCCCAGAACCCGCCTCTGTCAGATAGACTGATCTGATTGGTCCAATTGGCGATTCAGCTGGCTCTGCTTGTTGGGGCCAGATTCCCGTGCAGAGCAAATTCAAATTTGCTAGAGGTGGGGCATCTGGATTTCCAGGTTAGGCTACCCATGTTAACATGTGGAAACATAGTGCCCACTGCCTATGGTCTGGTCTCCACTGCTTAGCTAGCATTGGCTGCTTCGTACTGTGCACAACTCAGGGTCGGGTGGGAGTTAGCAAGCTGTATAGCTCATTGGTGATTACGGCTGGTAATGGCATTCCTGTGGCTAGTCGACGTTGCTGTAGAAAAATGGCACCCATCCTCCTGTCACCCCCCAGGCCTCCCCAGTGAGTACGCAGCCTCATTCTGAGCTGCAAAACCCCTTTAGCATTGTTAACTATGTTAGCACCCCTAGCTGTGCTAACACAGCTAACAGTGCTAACAGAGCTAAAAGTAATGCTAAAGGGAGTTTGTGGCTCATAATTGAGTTGCCTACTCACCAGATGAACCTGGGGAGAGACCAGAGAGTGGGCACCATGTTTCTACAGGAATACTGTTGGGTTGGGACAGCAATACTAGCTGTAATTGTCAAATAAGTGGTGCTGCTAGCTTGCTTCCACCAGCAGCAAATTAATGGTAACCAGTTAAAAATATTGTCATTGAAGTCCCTATATGATACCAAAGCAAACTTAAAAATGTGACAATCTTCAGGTAAGATTCTGAAGCTATATGGAGCATCTTTTTATTATGATTTCTAAGCAAATTTTTGGACATTGCCTTGCGATGGGTTCAGAGATAATGACATCCTCAGGAAGTGTAAATCACATTAAATCTAAAACAAAATTATTTAATGATTTATTTTCATATTTATCATATCTTTGTGTGAAGACCTGAATGAGTTATGACTCCTTTAACACAAATTGTGGCAACGGAGCGGTCTTAAAGTACTTTAACTGCCTCCATGAGGTCATGTTCGGACAAAAGCTGTAACTGAAACTACCAGTGACAACAGCATCTAAGCAAATCAAACGTATTCAAAGACAACACTTACCCAATATGGCATAGTAAAAAGGGAACTGGGCAGGGTCAGTTGAATACTGGGGGAGTGCATAGAGACCACCAGGTAGGGAATTCCACAACAAGCGGTTTCTGGACACATGGGCGTCCACGCGGTCCTGGATGATCTGGATGGAAAACACAGACGAAGTACAAAAGGAGAAGAAAACATTAGAGGTGAAAGGAGTAGGTGAAGTGAGAAAGAGGGGAGGGAAAATGAGGTAGAGGAGTGAAGAGGTGAAGATATAAAGGTGTGACTAGATTGAAAAAGGTGTGATTAGTTAAATGATTTCCTGCTTTTGTGTTTATTTTACACACACTGCTTCCCAGATTTAAAATTTGACTCAAAAATGCCGCTCACAGAGAATTCATAACAGGGATACTCTGCCAATTTTCAACCAGTTTGCTGCATAACAGTGTGGTCAGTATGTGTAAATGAACTGTGGAAAACTTCCCTCCATCTTACTTCTTGTCCCTGGCAAAGGTGAATTTTTCACTGGCTCCTGGGCTGTTGCTGGAACGACAGCCGACTGCCACCACGGACACAAAGAGTATATTTTTTACCTTCAATATCTATATTTATTTCACTGTTTTACTGCAGTAAGAGAAAGTATTAACAGACAGTGGGTGCCATACTGTCTCCTGTATTGTGACAAGTATAATATAAAATATACATTATTATGTCATCTTAAGTATTAGCTAAATATTGTCAAAAAGCCAAAAGCAAGGCTGATTTTGATACATGACAACATTTACACTTCTCTCTCTAGCTGCCGACATGTGATAATATGTGGAAATAAAAGTAGCCAGCTGTTTAGCTGCAGCTGCTGCTCGGGGAACAGACCTGAGACACTTGAACTCATTCACTTGGGAGTATCAACTTGCTCCCAACATGAGGAGTCCATTAGTTATTTAGCTAAAATTATCCATTTCGCTTGTTAGTAAAGGTCAGGTTAGTAAGTTGAGTGCTGTGAGTCTTTTGGGGGGGGGGGGGGCTTGACACGACTTCAACCTGCTGCCGGGCCTCTGAATACACAAATGTGTAAAGTTCAGCAACTAGGATGTCATTTATTTACTGTAATTATATTCAGGTGTCACTATTAATTATTAAATGATGAAGTGAAGTTATAAAGCTCTGAAAAAAGAAGCCTCTTTGAGGAACCTTTCTTACATCAGTGGTCCTTGACTTGAGTAAAAGTAGTGATACCACAGTGTAGAAATAATTTAATTGAAGGACTCTTTAGTAAGTATTGTCAAAAAATGTACTTAAAGGTTAAAAATGGAAATATTGAAATAAATGTTATACACTACATTACTGCGTTATAATTGGTGATGTTTTAATGTGTGAGAAGCATTTTATTGTTGTTGCTGGTCAAGGTGGAGCTGATTTTAACTATGTTTTAAGGCTGTCAGAATACTGCATTAATTTGATTAATTAATCACAGAAAAAAATAAGGCATTGAAAAAAATTAATGCTGATTAATGACGTTCAATGGTGCCCTTTGACCCAGTGCATGATTTAAGGCCACAGTGACTTTGTAACATGATGGATGAAGGCGAGACGATGCTGCCTGGCCCCATGAATGGAACATTTACATTTAAAAATCGCCCAGATGGAGCCGCTAATAGGAGCACCTTTCTTTGCAGTTTCTGCAGTAAGGAATTTTTGTACCATCGGACGCAAAGTATTTTGCAGTGAACCCTGAGGTCTGAGCTAGCACAGCCTCTGATGCTAGCGCTAGCAGTTAGCCTCCTCAAGCTACACTCGACCAGACGTTCAGATGCAAGCTAAGTGAGTCTACCTGTGACGACTAACTAACTCCTTTGCAAAATAGATTGCAATGGACAGCAGACCAGGGTGGTAGAGGACAGGAGCACAATTGTGCCCAAAATCCAGCAGCTTTACTACGACACATCTGCTAAAATTCATTTGAAGACACAAACTCCTTGTGTCATGGCAGGAGTAAAAAACTGACCACAACAAAAATACAAACTGTGAGCAACACACACACACACACTGTATTTGTGTTCCATTACTGAGGGATGAGAGGTGTTGACTGACGCTGGCAGAGGGATGATCATGTAGCCGGCCGGCTCAGGAGATGCTGAGTGACAAGCTTTTGTGGGATTTGAGTGAAAAAATGTCTTTCTTATGAGTAAGGCTCCACAACCACTGGCTCTGTCTTCTCTCCGCTTGTCACCAATTCAGGCAAAGAATTCAGGTCTCTGTCTGATGAACCCTGGCGGACTCTCTGCAGGTGTGACGGCTTCAAACCACTCGGTGCTAAAGGAGAGTTTTGACGCCATAGAAACAAGCTTTATCACATGGGTTTGAGATAAGCATGCACGAGTGTGTGAATACTTGTGTTAAATCTAAAGTACATGGGATTTTTTTTAAGGCTCATCACTGGTATTTTTGTTTTAATGCCGACAACCAATTAAGCGACTGGAATTTTGTTTTGTATATACTTAATGACTTTTAAACAGTGGCATGAAAAGTTGTGAATTACATTTAGCTTTTATATGAAGCAGATAACGGTCCGAATATTTAAATTCAATTATGTATTTTCAATGTATTTATTGACTGAAGTGACAATAAACTAGAGAATTTATTGTGAAGGTGTAAAGCATTAAAAAGAAGCAAAATGCTAAACTATTTTTTGATTTTTTTTTTTGTAATTTTTGATAATTAATTGATCTCAACCATAAGCAGCAATTTAAAAAACTAGCCTGCTTTAGTTTAAATAAAATATTTACTATGTTGAACTCTACTTTGACATCTATACAATACTGAAATCAAAGGATGGAAGAACAGTTTTTTTCAGGCATCCTGTTTTCTTTCCCCCTCTGACTTCAGAGCTGTCCACTGATCTGTGGAGAATTGGCACTTTCAGCCAGCTCTTAACACACACACACACACACACACACACACACACACCTCATGACACCAACTGTCAGCCTCGCAGTATGTGGGCCACTACAGTTATCAACAACGCCTCATTTCACTCATTTAGCCTGGTGGCATGCTGGCTCTGGGTTTTTGGCACATCTGGCCAGCAGTATACGGCTGTCACTGGGCTTCTGTCTAATTTCATACCCTGCTAGTGCTGGGCATTTGGGGGTGTAACTGAGGTGTTGTTTGTGCTGTGATTTTAACAGAAAAAAATGCTGCAATTGGAGAAATATTTGTCTTATTAAGCTGTAAGGTGAGGATACATTATAACATCAAGATTCTTGTGACTCATTTGTTGTTGCTTTTATCCAGTCAGAAGGTTGAATGTCTGACAGCTACAGGTATGTAGACTGAATCCTTACCTGAATTTCAATATTTCAAAGCATAAATAAACTTTTTTCAAATGATAAAATGATGAAAATCTCAAAACCAAAAATTAAATTTGCTCTTCTTTTTCATCCAGAATCCGGATCAACTAAAGAACCAATAAGTTGCCGAAGTGTCAATTAAGCTGCCTGACCACTGAAAAGCTAATATATACATAGGCAATATAATCTAGTATAATATATGAAAACGGGACACTTCTTCCACATATTGTTTTTTAACTACTAAATGTTTATTTTTTGTATAACTGAATTTTGTTTTTGGTACCCTCATATATTTAAAAAATGAACCAATTTAATACAATCGTCATTGATTGTCTTAAAAATAGAGTGTGGATACCTGACCCAAACCCGACAGGACCTGATGGTTCAGGCCAGGTATGGAGAAATGCTTACAAATAATATTCGGGTCCTATTTGGCCAAAAAAATTCGGATCTTCTGTCTGTGTTGGGCTACTTCTTGTTCAGTGCTGGGGTTTGTTATTTACATGACAACACATGAACGCAACACATAGGCTATTTTAAGATAGGATATTTTAAGAGCGTTTGCTTGCTAAAGATGGAGGATGTCAAACAAGTTATATCAACTCCTAATGTAACCTGATGCTTGGTGTGGTTGCTTTGGACATTCTGGCCTTTCCAGCTGGGAGCAGCAGTGAATGGAACTTCCACGTAGCTGGAAGATCGATCAAACAGAGGAGGAGAGAGCTGAGGCCATCCACGGTGGATGCTTTCACCTTCTTCCATGATTACTTCAAATAAACCACCACGGTTTACTCCACATCTGTTTAAGGTGGAGCTTTCAGTTTTAATATAATTCTGAATAGTTTGATGTATAATAATGTGTCATATTTTAATTGTTAGATTTTTCTAGAGTAGAATATGAATCTGCAACACATTCAGTAGCCTAACATGTCACTGTAACTGTAGACCTATGATGATTTTCCTGCATGTTGCATGTTTTATCCAACTTACACTGACCCACATTAGCAACATAATTTCATGTTTTTTATGTGTAAACATCATCATAAATCTAAAGCTGGGGCCCAGGTGTGTCGCTCAGGGGCCAAAGAAGCACAGTCTTGAGAATAAAGTTAGTGAGCGGTTCTCAAGAAAGGTACAACAGGCCAAACGATCAGCCTGTTCTGAGCAGGCATGTTTTGAACAGGAACTGTACTAGTATAAAGTAATGCCTTGTGACGGTCATTTACAAGGTGCTATGCGTGTAATTACGGTATATAGGCAAGCTGTAACCAGGGCACCAACAATTACATGCACGACAGGGACAAACTCAGTGCCTCAGTACCTTACATGCTCCAAGTTCGGGCATATAAAACATTTGGGTTTGGGTCGTGCTCGGTTATTTACTTGGGCTTGGGTCGGGTTTGAACAGACCCCCATGAAAGACCCCCATAATCAGTCTCGTACATGCAGGGCTTGTCCGTCTGGCATGACCAGTAGCTTATGGTAGTTATTATTAACATAATGCTGTATAAGTCAGTACTGAGCCAGTTTACTGACTGTATAACTCTTCTGACTTTGTGCTACACTGTATTTTAGCATTTAACATGATCCTGTAGTTGCTATTTGTGGCCATAGTTAATGTTCAGCAAAAGTTACACAAAGTCACTTTAAATTAAAAAACTTGATTGTTTTGTTGATTGCACTTTAATATAACCCACTTAAGGACACAATAAATATGCCTACTTCAAATTTGAAAAAGGGATGCACCCCTGCAAAAAAATATACTAAAAGATTATAAATACAAAAACTAACACAAGATAATGACTTGTCTGATGCTGTTAAAGGTTTTCCATTAGTAAAAACATCACCTTTTCAATTATGATTAATTACAAAACTCTCAAACTGATGATTTTACATCTCTAAGTGAAGTTCTTCAAAATATGTTCTGAATGACAATTAACCTCAAAGTTATGTGGTGGGAAAACCACATAAATCATACACTTTCACATCCTTTTCTACAACATTTTAACCAATAATCTGTGAACATAACACAGAAATTCTAATCTAATTCCAATGCAAGTAGCAAAGACTGATGTCCCATGTTAATAATTACATCACTAGATTTTGTTAAGGACACTAATCCCATGTAAACAAGCTGAAAGTCGAGCGGCGATACTGACTCCAGTGTTATTGCAATGATGGAAATAATGATGACAGAAAGTGATGATGATTGCACACAATAATGTGCGTTACAGTGGAGATCATAGCAATTGTGCTGATGTTTATGTGACAACTGTGGTGGTAATTAAGAGGATTATTATGTTCTGTGTCTGTATTCAGAGATGCTACAGAGAGCAAATAGTCCCTGAGGGCTGGAGTGAACTAACAACAACAGAGAATAAAATGAGAGGAGGAAGGTTCTTACACTCCAATGAGACAAGTTCATCGTCTACACTCGAGCTAGTGAGGTCATTTAATGAGCCAGCCTCTAGCTTTTTAGTCTTGAGAGCAGGCAGATACACCCACACACACATAACTGCAGCCTCTCTAACCTGAGGGCTGCCACAGAGTACAGACCTCCTTCACATTTGGCACCTCACGCTGCCCCTTGTGCTCACATTGTGTTTAGATTTCAGGCATCAAAATGCTTTTTTCCCCAAGTCTAAATGTCATGATAAAAATCAAACTTTTCTTCGTCAAAGTTTGTTAGATTCCTGAGTGCACCATTCCCCTCCTACCTAATATTTGCCAGTGACGTTGGCTGTATTTCATTAAAGCTGTAGATAGTAACTTTTAGAAAAAATAGCTGTTGCCAAATTTTCTAAAACTGTCACTATATTCACACAGCACTAAACTGGGCAGATAATTTGTGTAAAAAAGTTATATTCCTCTGCCTGTTGCCTTGTGGCACTTCTAATGGCCTTACTGCACGGAGAAAACACAACCAATCAGAGCAAATTTGTCTCTAATGCAGCTGTCAATCATGTCAATGGCTGCAAACTGTGGTCAAACTGTCAATCTAGGCAGTGCTGAATCAAGATACTGTAACTGCATTGCCTAGTTCTCATCTCAGATATTTTCAGAAACATATTTTAGTGTACTGTTTAGCTGTAAAATGAAAAAGTTGGTCTGGCTGGTGGATGGTGCTTGGTACTTCAGTCAATTGTATCCAACGTGGCTGCTGTGTCACAAACGTTCTCATTTTACAGCTAAACAGTGCACAAAAATATGTCTCTGAAAACATTTGAGGTGGGAAATGGGCAACTCAGTAATAGGATACTGATACAAATTTGATCAGCGCCACCTAATTTGACGGTTAGACTGCAGTTTGCAGAGTGATTGACATGACTGACAGCTTTGTTAAAGACTCCTCAGCTCTGATTGGTTGTTTCTGGTTCACTGTGGTAGATTATAGCAAACAATAGGAAGAGGAGGGATGTGATTTTTCCCACAGTGTATCTGTCTCATGGACTTCTTTCAGAATATAATAACAGTTTCAGTATATATAACACAAAGTTACTGTCAAAGTTACCAACTGTAACTTTCAGTATTTTTAAAAAGAAGATAAAACAAATGTAGATCTATGGTGTAAGATATTTTAACATTTCGCTTGTCCTTAGATGGCTTGTTAGATCTTTTTACTCTTCATATATTCAAGGATATCATTGAGCTGTAAACTTAAAACCATAAAAACTGCACTAATTAATATTTTTATATTAACAATGGATCAGATGATCATGTCTGCAGATGCAGCAGGCAGCTAAAAAGCTCTGATACACCTATTGTGTGCTACCTGCTCGGCACCAACGGGCAGACAACCAATGTTAGGGAGGAACTTGTTTAACATAGTAGATTTACCAGCTGGTGGCAGTTGGTGGAGACCAAAACAGATGCAAAAATAAAAAAAAAATAATAATTTTTAGAGGTGATGGTTCATCTTTTTTGAGTTGAGGTTGTATGAGGTACGTATCTATAGTCCATGTAGTACCTACAGTAGATGGCAGTTGGCATGCTCTCAGTGTGAAGACGCAGGCAGGAGTACAACAACGGAAGCTAAACTATGTAGTGATACCACTGCGGCAGGGACATGGCCTTCATATTTGGGACGCCTGCTCTACCTATTGAGCCACTGGGTGCCCCTGCAAGATGGATTTTTGCCACTTAAAAATGCCAGCTTAAAAAAGAAAACTATATCAGTCTAAGTGGATGCTATATTGAGAATATTTTTACATGCTTTGCTTGCCGCCAGCCAGCCTGGATCCTGAGAAATACACCCCTGGGTCTTTGAGAAGTCAAAAATCCAAAGCTGGTGTTTATCATATTTCAGTTTGACTGGAGTTAAATATGTGCTGACTGGAACTTGGCTGCAGTTTTGTAAAAAGAAACAAAAAGCAACACTAACCTTAAAAAACATAATCAAAAACTAGTTTTAAGGTGCCCTTGAGCAAGACAAACAACCCCCAATTACTTCAGCGGAGCTCTCTAGTTAATGTTAGAAGTGGTGGAGATGTATGAATATGAATCAGAACATTGTTGGAAGAGAGAGGGCACATTCAGCTAACCGTCTTTGGATTAAAAAAGGTCAAAAACTATAACTGACAAGTGAAGAAAGATTTCTTGTAAAAGTTTATCTTTGAAAGGTGAGGCATAGCCAGCAGCAATGTACAGTCGAGGAGACAAGATGTAGCGTTTGGTTGATCAAATCAAGCTCTCCTGACAAAAAACTAAATCCAAAATTCCTATTAAGACCTCCTTTTTCAGTCTTACCTCCAGAGTAGTTAAGACGATTTTGGTTACAGAAGAAAAGTAGGCGTCCCAGAGGAACTGAGTCTGCTGGCGGAGAGCCAAGATCCTGTCACGGCCCACAGACCGGGTAATGGAGGGAACCTGGAGGAAGAGAAGACGGAAGATAAGCCAGAGGACAAAGATGACAGTGAGATAGATTGAGTTAGATTTTAAACAATGTTGAGTGAGGGGATGAGAGCCGGTGTGTGGAAGAAAAAAAAGCGTAAAGCCGGCAGACAGGTGGAGGAAGCATAAGTAATTATGTGGACGTGCAGAAAAGATTAGATGAAATTCTTTTTCCCCTCAAGACTCTTTCTTCTTACATCTTACTCTGTCCATCATCTAATCCCCAGGACAGTTTGTTAACTAAACCACCTGCTGTCCATCTCTAATACTGTATTCACACCGTATAATAGATACTATTAGGTGTCTACCAGAAAGGGCCAAAAACAGATTTAAATCAATAAATGCCTCAGAGCAAACCCATACAGAAAATATAATACATGTATGTGTATTGAATTTACTCATATATTAAATATAAAAGAAATATAAGTATAAACATGTCTGTACATATATGAAAAATGAAACCTATTAGAAATTGGAACATTTACATATATTGCCGTATACAAATATCAGGGCTCAACAATAAGGATTGCCCGGGGCAAGTAAAACTCACGGTACAACTCACTTGCCCGATCGGGCAAGTTGCTAAAAATAGTAAAAGTTAATAACTAATTGATAAAATAAATGTATTTTAAAACGTGCTCTTCGGCTCTGATGCAGCGGTCTCTCTGCCTGAAGTCACAGGCACAGCTGTGTAACAATGTCCTGCCCACAGCCCCCATTGATATTATTTTGCGCGACGGACGCTTCATATAATAACATAACAATATAATATTTATGGTGTTATGCCATCGTGTCATTTCTGTCTCTACATGGTCACTCGTTAACAATTCTCCTCTGCTCTCTGTATCGTGCATGGCGGAGTTCCGCCACACACACAGGTGATCACGCTAGAGCGGCTCGGGCCGCATTTTCCTGACCAAACCTGACCCCGAGCCCGGTGCAGTTTGTCAGCTGACAAAGTTATTGAAATGGACAGTGTGTAAATAACCAACAGACTGCTGTTACGCACAGACAAACACGCTGCTCGCACAGCAGCTCAGCACGGCACTCATGCTGAGCTTGTGTTGCGTTCAGGCGTTGTCACGTAAATAACAACTTCCAACACTTAAATAGGTCATAGCACAAAACAGCAGCATGTCAAGTGACTTTTTACTTTATTATATTCAATAAAATTGTATGTTCCTAAATCTTGAGACACCTCATATGTAAGCTAGACAGACATTTCACCTGCTCATTACTGTGCACACATGTACTGTATGTACTTAGTCCTAAAGAGCCCTTCTGGTGCCAGTAGATACATAGAAACATCCCAGCAGGCTGTGCTTTGCAAGCATACAAAAAAGTTTCACGCATGTGAAAATTATTTTTCATGCGTGTGCTTCACCTCCGCTGCTACAACTCCATCCTAGGGGAAACACTGCTGTGTGCGTTTTGTGCAACAGGTGGATGTGGTAGTCTACTGGTAGAGTAGAGAGAGAGCTAAGTAGCGTTGAAGTAGAGTAGAGCAGGGCAGAGAGATGGAAGCAAAATATATTAAACCCGGTGTTAATACAGCAGAACTGGAGAGAGGGGTGAAAAATAAATAGAGGTGGGCATGGCTCAAGTAGGGCGCAAAATTATAGACGGAGAACGATTGACAAATTTTTCACTTTAAGCCCTGACACTGTCATTTTTGTGTAGGAATTAAGCTACAATACATGGCATATGTTGTTTTAATTAATAAATACAGTGTGAATAAAGATTACATAACATAAAAATAACTGCAGTCTTTGTTATTTGATAGCCGCTTAAATTAAAAATTTTTATAGGGCAAGTAAAAACTGACTTCGGGCAAGTAGATCTCTGACCAACTTGCCCGACCGGGCAAGTGAAAAAAAAACCTTAGCGTTGAACCCTGAATATGTATGTTAATGTATGTATAATACATTTATTACCATATAGTTCACACACACACACATGTATTTTACACATGTATATATTAGTATAAATGTGTAATATACAAACACACACACATATATTCTCGTACTTCTGGCTTTGTGAGGACCCTCTTAACATAATGCATTCCCTTGCCTCTTACCCTAACCTTACCCATCACAACTAAATGCCCAACCCTAACCTTAACCTAAACCTAATTCTAACCTGAACTCTAAAACTAAGTCTTAACCCTCAAACAGGCCTTTAAAAGTGTGTACCAACTAAAATGTCCTCACTTTGCATAATGTCCTCTGTTGCTAAAATATTTTTTGGTCCTCACTGTGTAGCATGTACAAATTCACATACACATACGCACATGCATGCACGGACATGCGTGTGCACACACACACACACACACACACACACACACACACACACACACACACGCGTGTGCAAATACATATATTATTTCTGAACTGATGTTGGATACATGCTGATATTATTTATGTAAATACAAAAGATAGATGTACATGTTAAAATTAATTAGAAAAACATATAAGCATAGAGAATATGTTGTTTTCATAAACTGTCAGAATACGGTCTGAAAAATAATTCATTCATTTATTTACCGCTTATCATAGTAAAGGTCATGGGGGGCTGAAGCCTATCCCAGCTGATATTTGGTGAGAAGCCCTACCATTAACATATATGGTTGCAAAATATATAATAATGTTTAATATTTAGATACAGATATATACAGATATAAACTGAAATCTTTGTATATTGAGAGTATGCGACAATAATATTTAGCATTAGGGGCATATATAGAATATATTGCATTTCCTCCTGAGGAACAACTGTTTATGTTTTTTGGTGTGACATACACAGCCCTATCACATATGATCGGGTACAACTTCACTGACAACTTAAAAAAAAATCTTTTTAAAAACTGGATGTTATTTAATACTTTCAGTTTTCATTTATACTGACACCACATTGAGTGACAAAATATGCACATTTCACACATTTATTCATTACTTCAGCTATTTTAGAGTCCCTGCTAAATAGTTTCTACACACTACCACTGGGAGCAACTGGAAAGAGGTAAATAAAAGAAGTACCCTGTGGGATTCGGGAAAAACTGCTTTAGAGTAGGACTGCTTATTTATTATTCCTCAGTTAGGCTATTAAACTTTAGAAAACACTGAAAAATGCCCATCACGATTTTCCAGAGTACTAAGTGACTTAAACTTGCTTTATTTGATGGATCAACCCTTTATTTCAGCACTACAGTGGAGATCATTTGTCAAATAAATCTAGTTGTTGTTACTTTTATAATATTATACCACAAAACCTAAAAGTAAGAGTAGGATTCAAGATTCAGTGACTGCAATGTTTTCTCCCTGTGGTATTAAAGCAACTTGCTGTACATCATATAATGCTCTACAAAGGTATTATTGATGGTTCATTCATTTTCTTTGGATAAATATCAAGTGACAACAAATCATTCAGTTGTGTTTTTGTCAACTGGCTTCATAGGACTTCTGCCACAGCAGTGTACCCACAAACTCTGCAGACCTGCCAGGAGCCCAGATATCTTGTTCCTGGTGCTCCAGAGGGAAGCTGAGGTCCCAGCTCACATTGTCATGGAGGACATAAGCAGCTGGCTTGTGCCTTGCAGCAGTAATCACCCTCGGGGAAAGGCAGTGAAGGGATGAAATCAAGAGAGACGAGGATCCTGCCAACCTGACCAGGGAGCTAAACATCCTGATGTGCCAAGGAAGATGGAGCAGGACGCTCTCTTGATGCTCAGTTTGGAGAAAAACAAACTACCTTCTTGATGAGGTCAGACATGACCTTATCTGCCCCGCTCAGCTTGATAATGAAGCCGAAGAGGGATTGAGTTGCATTGTAGCCAATGTTCCTGAAGAGCCTCACATCATCAGCCCTGAAGAGGTGGTGGATCTGGAGCCCAGGACCCTTCTGGTGTTCTGGCCATGAACCCAAAACCTCTTGACTGAAAGTTACAGTGCCAACACAGGCAGTGGAATAGTGACTCATGCTGCAAATATCAGTTTGTTGGGAGCAACCAGAGCTGAAATGATGGTCGTCATCCAGGGACTTTCAGTCAGAGAGTCCTGAGCTGCTTGGCTTCATCTCTCATGTTGTGACCAATGAGCTTCTCATCATGTTTTAGGACTTCTTGAAGCCTTTTGAGACAGCTGCAAACAAGGATGAGCCTGTCTTGGATATTCTCAACTCATTTTCCACTAAAATAATACCCAGATGTTTTGTACTTCCTGTCATGTTTATACATCAACCCACCACCGTTTGCATAGAGTCTCTTTCAAATGACATACACTATGTCTATGCTGTCATCTATTGTTCATCCCCTTCAGTAGTAAAAGCTCTGGAATACCTGCAGTCTGCCTTTGATGTTGTTCAGACCCACTTAACCCAACTTAAGCTGGTGTTAAATGCAGAAAAATCCAAATTCATGCTTTTTTCAAAAGGCAAAGAGTTTCAATCTGATCTTCCAAGGATCTCAACTACTCAAGGGATTGAAACTGAAATGGTTACAACGTACAAGTATTTAGGTTTCATCATTGATCAGAACTTGTCTTTCAAATCACATATTGAAAACCTTGTCTCCAAGCTGAAGGTTAAATTGGGTTTCTTTTTTTAGAAACAAATCTAATTTCTTCCTTCAGGCAAGGAGACACTTGATATCTGCAACTTTTTTACCTCATGAATACTTTCATACCTTCATGAATGCCCTTGACTAGTGCCTAAAGAAGTTAGACACTGTGTACCTTTGTGCTTTGTGCTTAATTGCAGGTTGTGGAAATCGCATACCTGTTCTCTATATGTCACTGCTAAATGGCCGCCTTTGTATGTCCGCAGGCTCTCGCATTGGTTGTTTTTTAATGTATAAATCTATTCTTGGCCTGGTTCCCTCTTATCTGTCTACATACATGTGTAGAAACCAAAATCAATATGGTCTTCGCTCTTAGAATATTCTACAAATGCTGCTTCCAAGGGTGAGAACAGAACTCGGCAAA